ACACTGCCACTAGTAAGTTATACAGTGTTTCTCTGGCTCAGATGTCATAGGTTTTTTGGGAAAAATATACATTTAACATGCACACAATATTAAATTTCTTCTTTTCTTACTGCAACACTCCCATCCACCGCTAAAGCAGCAGACAAGTGTAAATTGTAGAGCATTACTGGGGTTTACAGGTTTAGTTTTGTACCCAAGCTCTGATCATGTATTGACTGACTCCCTCTCTCCACTGTGTCTATAAATTCATGGATTTTACCATTAGAATCAGAGATAATCCCAACTGGCTTCCATACACAACAAAGGAGGTAGAGAGAAAAGGGAAGGAAAAGGAGGAATGCTGACACTGACTGAAGCACTAGGGAAAGGGAAACCACTGGGGCAGTAGAAATTCAGATTCACTCTAGTCAGTCTCCCTGCACTTTCAAAGCTGTGTCCTCACTGGAAGTTGAGTAAGTGGGAATTCTTCTGACATATTCAGTGATATTTGGTTTGAGCCTTAGTTTTCTACAGTGGGCTTTATCTTTAGAAAATAATTAATTGAAAATTCCACTCATTAATTGATAATATTCTGACTCAGAAGCTCAGAGAGCAGGCTAAGGATTTCTTCTCAAGTCTGGCCCTATCAGCTACACCTTGGTAAAGGACACTTGGCTGCCTAAGTAAAACTTGTGTTGACAACATACAGGAAACAATTCCAGATGCAGAGATGAGACTATCTCCCTACTGAGAGAAATAAACAGAATTAAGTCTTGCTCCCATTAATGCCAGTAATATGTCATCCGTGGTATTCGAGTCCCTACACTTTTCTTAAAATCATAGAGTCATCAAGGTTGGAGGAGACCTCTAAGATCATCAAGTCCAATTCTTAACCTGTCACTGCTGTAACCCCTAAATGCTAAACCGTATCTTCCAGAGCCAGATCCAGATCCCTCCTACACACTTCTAGGGATGGTGACTCCACTACCTCTCTGGGCAACCTCTTCCAATGCCTGACCCACTTCTCAGTACAAACCCTTTATCCGTGATAACTCTGTTTCTCAGAAATGTTGCTACTAATTTTGCCTAGTCCTAATGCATGCAGCTGATTACAATATGTATCAATTGATTGCATGAGAACACATATTTTCCTCTATCAGCTCACTTATTTACTTGTTTTCCTTTTTTTTTTCCTCCCCTTTTTCTTTTCTTATTAAAAGCCAAGGCAAACACTGCAAGCCCAGGTAAGGTATTTTGATTCTTTCCTCTTTTTAATGTCTTCAATTCCTAAGGGCAGGCTATGGTGGGTAAGAGTTGTGAGCTGGGAAAGGCTGGCAGTTTAGTGGCAGAGGATATCTGAGTGCAGGGGAAAGGAGGAAGCAGGAGACACTGGATGCAGGCAGAGAACTTGGGGATGCCACAGCTTACCTAGGGGCCACACACCACTAATCCAGGGTCTGGCAGCTGAACCACCCTCGGTGGTTAAGTGCCGTGGGGATGATTTGGCTATGTCTGCACCACTTATGGAAAAAGAAAACCTTTAAAATATCTATCCATAGCCTGTCAAGCTGCTGGACAGCCAGTGCCCATGTGCTCTGGAAGGCTCACAGGCAAAGAAACAGCTTGTGATGCCAGCAAGCTCACCCTCTTACCAGGAGAGGATGACACTAAGGAGTAACCTCAGGGCTAGTTGTAGAGGGAGGAAAGAGCTTTTGTTGCTCCCCATCAACGAGAGAAATTCACTTCCTCTCCACTCAGCTGCTGTTTCCAGGTATGGCAGCAAGGCCTACATTTAAATTTGCAAAGCTTGCTAGTGTTCAACACATGCTGTATTTTACTCTATCCTTATACATGCGTTATTAACATTCCGTTTCCTCCTCTCCAGAAACTCCTGTTTTGATGCCTGAGTACATACAGCGGAGGATACTAAAATACTTAAGTACCGTGTGCCAACCAAGGAGTCCTGGGATGCAAAGTATAAAAATAGAAGGGTAAGTATTTATTCTTGTGAGTGAAGTGTCCCAGCCAAGCTGGGGTATCCCAGATGTGGCTTTACACCATGTTCTTACACCTTTCAAACATTAAGGTACAACTTGATTTGACTGTTCATTCATACCCACACTACCCACAGCTAATTAACTAAAACTCTGCAAAACACCACTATTTCTGCAGAATTTTTGCTGTCTTTCTATTGATCCAGATGTCCCTAGAGACAGCCTTGCTGGAGTTACTGATCTACAACACCAGTTGATGCTGGGAGGGTTTCAAGGATTTGTCAGAGGGGCTGGGATACCTCTGTTATCTTGGCTGTCCAGAAGAATCCTTCATGACAGCTCTAAGCTTCCACGAAGCAAAGTTCTTCTTTCCAGGGTTGGGCAGTCCTTTATTTTGTTTCAGTTAAGCATGAACAATCTGGAGACTCCAGTAAAATTCCACTCATACATTTACATATATGTGTGATACTGATATAAGTTGTCACACATATTATACCAACAGACATTTCAACTCCCACAAAGTCACAGAGATGCTCAGGAGTTCTGTGCTGTCAGCAGTGTTTAACATCACAGCTAGATATTTTTGAAGAAAAGTTTCTTCTAACCAGGGAAAAAAGTGTGCTTAGTAAGCATGTCACGATTTTTGTAGGACAATTTATACGTGGCTTTTTTTCCTTCTACTTTTCTCAGGTGTGTAAAGGATCCAACCTGTGGGAACTCCATCTCACCAGGTCACAGGCACGTCCGGATCAATCTAGGACCTCCTGCACCCCAGAGATATTGCATACGGTGCACAGTCTCAGGATGCAACACATATCCTCCTGCTCCTCCTCCCAACAGCCTGCACAACAGATACCCTGGTCCTCCCCCTTACCACCCAGGTGGCAGATTCCCTCCTTCCCCGTACCACCCAGGTGGCAGATTCCCTCCTTCCCAGTACCAACCAGGTGGCAGATTCCCTCCTTCCCAGCACCAGCCAAGCTATAGGATAAGAGGCAAAAGAGCTACAGGTGCCACCATTACTGTTCTTCTTGGCCGTAAATAGTAACAGCCCCAATAATGCTTCTTCTAACCATGACATCATGTTGATCATCTCTGTATGTGATCAGCTGTGTCATAGGATCTGCTGTTGATTTCTAATACATTGTAGCAGGGGGTGTAAATCTAAAGGAATTTAAACTGTAGTTGTGACCCTTAATTTTCTTTTGGACCTATGTTGTGGATTTGTAAAACCCTAAACTTCAGTAAATGCTCTCAGTGATAAAGAATAATTGAATCAACTGGCTGTTTTTTTCTCATTAAGACTTTGCTTCCCTCTCAAGGTCCTTCTAGTTCTCCTCATTGCACCTAATAGTTGTACCAAATGTGGTACCTATAGTACCAAATATTGGTTGTTTAAGGAAGGTTAATTTGCCTTACAGGCACACAGGTCCCAGTTCTGCTTTCTGAGCTCACAAAGAGACACAAACCAAAGCATCTCTTGTAACCAGCAATGTCTGAGTAACTACCTTAAATAAGAACTTCAAAATATTTGGAAAAAATATTGTTCAAGCTCAGCCCTTCAGAAACACTGGGACACTGCTCAGGGGTGCAGTCCATTAGTACCAACTCCAGCACAAGGAATCTTCCTAATTATTCACACACAAGTAGTTCCAAACAGTTTGACTACCAACATGTAAGCACCAGAGTAAGTTACAAGGCTACCATAGGCATTTTTCTCTAGGTTCTGATGGACACAGCACGGATTGGCAGAGCTCCACACACCAGCTGCATACCAACTGGATGTCAGCATTTGAAAATTCCTTGCAAGTACATGCGTGGGTTTAAGAAACAAAAGTCTACACAGAGTAAATGCAAACTTAGCATTTGTAGAAGCTAAAGGGAACTAAAATGCTATGCAGCATCTTTGTACATGTATTCAGTGGCCCCATGTTTAAAGGCAGTGTAACTGGGTTGTCCTGCTGGAGAGTTGAATTCAAGACCGTTAAAGTGAGGTAAAAATCAGAGAATTGTTTTAAGTAAAGCAGTTTCCAGCAGGTCTGCACTGCAATTTGACTTTTCTAGTAACCCTGAAAGAAGCCCTGTCTGCACAGACCATGGCACTAAGTGCCACATCCAATCTTTCCTTAAACACCCCCAGGGATGGTGACTCCACCACCTGCCTGGGCAGCACATTCGAGTGCATAATCACCCTGTCTGGGAAGAAATCTTCCTAATGTCCAACCTAAACCTCCCCTGGGGCAGATTGAATGTGCTCTCATCCTGTCACTTGTTACCTGGGAGAAGAGCCTGACCCCACCTGACTCCAACCTCCTGTCAGGGAGTTGCAGAGGGTGATAAGGTCTCCCCTGAGCCTCCTTCAGGATAACCACCCCCAGCTCCCTCAGCCTCTCCTCACAGGACTTGTGCTCCAGACCCTTCACCAGCTTTGCTGCCCTTCTCTGGACCTGCTCCAGCCCCTCAGTGTCCCTCTTGCAGTGAGGGGCCAGAACTGCACATAGCACTCAAGGTGTGGCCTCACCAGTGCTGAGTACAAGAGGCATGACTCGACTACGTTAGGCAATGGCAATAACACTTCATCTTATAGATGGAGTAATCACCATCCACAACAAGAGGATGGTGGTTCTATTCTACTCCACTGGTAACATATTTCACATCAAAAGTCAATACAGCCAAAAAAAGTGAACTGATTCCACATAGGTAAAAAGATCTGCAGTGACTTAGTTTATTTAGGGTACTCCATTGTTCAAACTGAAACTAGGGAACTGTTCATAGAGCTTTTAGCAAAGTTCCTTAAATAAATAAGCCACAAAGGGCATACAAAATTCTTATATTTAGGAAAAAAAACACAAACTCTTTAGATCTTTCATAAAACTAACAACTGTGTACAAGTGGGTAGAATTACAGTAACAAAATGCAAGTTAACACCACTGAGGTTTTTTACAGCTATAACTCCATAAATACTGAGCTTTGTAAAGTATAATCGCCCTCCAAGTATTTACAGTGAAGTCTTAGATCCACATTCATCTATCTCTCTCCATTAGAAAACCCCTCGTTAGAATCATAGTGAGCTTGGGAAATTTTGTTTGGCTTTGAGTTCTGAACCAAGTCCATCAAGAGAACCATTTTATTGTCTAGGTGTGCCTGAAGAGCCTGGATTTGGTGATCAATATAGTCCATTAGCTTTTTCTCCATCAGCTCCATATTTTTTGAGATGATCTTTTCCAAATAGGAGCAAATAGGCTGCTGTTCTACCCTGTAAAGAGAGGAAATAGAGTAAGTATAACCCATTTCTTAATGATAAGAGGCACTGGGGCACTTGAACTCCTTTCAAATGTAAAATCACATTTATTAGGCAATAAATTTTGAAGGCATTAGACTTATAACACCAGTAAAATACTTTCTCTGCCTGCCACATCTTAAATCTCATTTTTTCACAAACATGCTAAGCTATACAGTCATCTTCTTTCAATCTATTTTTTCCAAAGGCTCAATTATGCATTAGACACAGCTTAGTTACAGGGAAAAATCCACACAACTCAATAGTATACAGAACACTATGCAACTCTTGGGTTTTGCTTCTGCATTCTTGAAAAATACTGCATTCTTCCAGGAACTGGAGATATTCAGCCTCTGTTAGAACCCTAACTCCTACACAACACTCCTACATCTCAATTTCTACTGTTGTTCCTGAGTTATCCAGCTGGGTGCACTATGAAGTCTGCCCTGTAAATGCCAACAAATGAGGAGGATCAAGTATACACTAAGCACAGCAAAAAGACTGTGTCACATTGTGTGAAAGAAAGGAAGACAGAAGACATTAGGAGGTAAAAGCAGTCAAAATTAAAATGAGACAAGAAGGACAAACTGTGTATGAGAATGAAGAAACATACATTTTAAAAATAATCATGATAAGTGAAATGGATGCAAAAGACAGTTTAGCAACAAACGACAACTCCTACATTCAAGCAGCTCATCTGACTAATTGTAACCATGTTCATTGTCACACACCCTTCAAAAATCCCTATTTTCAGATTCACTACTGCTGTTAATGACAATAAAATGCCACATAATCCATTCTTTAAACCTGTCAGCAAATACAGCCAAGCTCCTGCTTTCACAAGCATACCAAACTGAACTCACCCAACAGACTGAATGCCTTCCTCCTTAGCCACTGCATTCTTCCCAAAATGCCTCTCTCCATCCTTCAGCCGGAGGTGATTCACCTGAGTGCACAGGTTTTGGAGAAAAGGAAGCAGCACCTGTGGATTGGCTACATTTGGGGTTTCACTGGCTTGTTCCTGCACATGCAGAGATCCCATGGCTTTCAAATAATTTCTGAGGCCAGCTGCATTTTGCTGGGTAGTGAGTCCTTCAGAATCAGAAGTATTCCCTCCTCCAGGGGCCTCTGTGTTCAGGTCATGATTTGCTTTCAAGTCTTTACATCCTGTTTCACTTGCTAAATGATTTTGAACAGGCAAAGGTTCACTGGCTGATTGACTGGGTGATGGCTGAAGAGCTGCACTGCGCAATCCATCTATTCCCTGCTCACCTCCAAGCTCACAGCTTTTCCCAAAGATCCAGCTAAGTTTGTCTCCAAGAGGTAAATTGTTCTGACAGGGAGAAAAACAAGACAATTAATACCGAAGTATTAACATATACTGAAAATTACACAGTAATAACAGATATTTTACAATTCAGCATTCCACCAGTGCGATGTAAATATTATACAAGTAGAATTATATTCTTAGAGGAAAATCACAGGATTATTTTCCCTGTGCATATGATGTGTTAGTTACCTTGTCAGTCTCTAAGTAAGAACACAGTTTTACTGGCTTCATTTTTACCACTCTGTGTCCCCAAATCCAAACATTATTAACATCAGGTGGATTCAAGATTCTGTTGAAATGGTTCACATTACAGGACTAGGATCTAAATCAAATAAATGCCCTGTAAGAGCAGGTTCCCTTTAGTTGAAGGCGACATGCTTTTAATCACCACAAAGGAGACAAACCAGCCCATCTCCCTACACCCCAAGCACTCCAGAGAATGTGCCCACCATCCCTAACAAGCAGTGACAATGGAAACTAACAACAGGAGAGGAGAGGAGGGTGGCAGTGAAGTTAAAAGTTATAATAATGCAGAGTTCTTACTCTGGACTTGATGTATGCACAATGATTCCTGGAGTACAAAGTCATTATTCACTGCACTCATTTGAGTGCCAATAGCTAAACGAAAGGACTAACATGGGAGAAAATGAGGATTAAATGAAACATAATTTTTTTTAAAATCAACTTAGGATGTTTTTAACTAGTAAGGTCACAGCTCAGTACAGTTTGTGTTTATGGAAGAGCAGAGTGACTTACCTTCTGCTGACACCGGACCATGTCCATGAGCTGCTGAGCACCTGGAGACAACTTGGATCCCATAGATTCCATTATAGTTTGCACTCTGTCTAGATCTATGCTGGAGCCTAGTGGAGGAAAATCAGTTGCTAGTTTTGCAGACACTGCTTTCACTTCTACAATTATTTTACTGATGAGTACTCTTTGTTTCTCACCAAAGGAGAGCAGCTATTGCAAGAAGGAAACAAAATATTTTGGTTAGGAAAAGAGATAGTTTCATGTTCTCTTTGTATGTGTGGGACAATGCTTTGTGCTTTGAGTCTTGGGCCAAACAATGCTGAACCCTTTTCCAGAAAAATTAAACCAATTTCTCCTTGCTGCTATTCCCCATAAAATTCATAGAGGTGACTGTGTGACCCAAAGGTAAATCAGGCCTTGATCTTCCAAGCATTTAAGAGCAGTGACCATAAGATTTTCATAGGCTTAACCACATCAGAGTTGACAGTTCTGATTACACATCTGCAGTTTATCTGGTTTATGACTTTTTCCTCTAAGACTCTATTATCTCTATCATATAAAGTCTTCATAAAAGGATACAAATTTAAAAAGAGAACTCTACTATCAAGACAAAATACCAACAGATATTTTAAGTGGTTATATGAAGCATACAAAACCAAAAATTTGACCAAGGGCAATGCAATTTAGTCAATGGAGTGATTCAAAAGGCAAAGAGAAAAAACTATTCTGTTCAACTCCCTACCTTAATTCTACAGGAGGCTGCAGGGCACTCAAACTTCAGGTACTTGTGGTACAAAGTAACCTCTTCAGTTTCACTATAAAAATAATGTAAACAAGTTGTGGCATCAAGATACAAAGTACTTTTTTTCCCAGTAGAAATACTCTATACTGGTAAATAACAAGGAAACAAGACTGACTGGAACATATTTCTAAACCAGATTTCATGTTTCTAACAGCAGTTTTAGTTTCTAGTTTTTAGCAGTTTTTTAGGTCCTAATAGCAGTTTTAATGCTTATATGCAACTTCTAATTAATCTTATATGTAAAGACTATTTGTATGTACATTATGTAGCAGAGAAGCTTTAGAGGTTCAGTAGGTTATTCTCACATTTTGCCTGAGGCTCTGAGCTGGCTTGTTTCTATTTAGCTAATTAAGCAGCAAATGCTCCATGTAATGACTTATAAACAAAACAGAAACGTTGCTTTATTTCCCCTGGCAAGCATGGAAGGAAGTGGTGAGAGGAAAAACAAAACCTTCTTAATTTTCTCTCTTATTCTTTGAAGAATGAGATTACTACTTATCATAGAGATGAGATCCTTCATAGAATCAGAGAATGGTTTGGGTTGGAAGGTACCTTCAAGACCATCTCATCCCACCCCCTGCCCTGGGCAGGGACACCTTCCTCTAGACCAGGCTGCTCCAAGCCCCATCCAACCTGGCCTGGAACACTGCCAGGGATGGAGCAGCCACAGCTTCTCTGGGAAACCTGTGCCAGTGCCTCAGCACCTCACAGGGAAGAATTTCTTCCTAATATCCAATCTGAACCTACTATCTGAGAGTGTGAAGCCATTCCCCCTTGTCCTGTCACTCCAGACCCTTGTCCAAAGTCCCTCTCCAGCTCCCTTGGAGTCCCTTAAAGCACTGGAAGGTTGTTTTAAGACTGCTCTAAGAAATGTTCTAAGTGACCTAGCAATTTGTAACAACACGGTAATAAAGTTCAGCTGACCCTTACTATACTGCAGGAATTCACCTGCCCTCTATCCCTTTGAATCCATTCCTCTTTGTCCTGTCACTCCATGCTCTTGCAAACAGTCTCTCTCCATCTCTCTTGTAGGCTCCTTCAAGCTCTGGAAGTCCAAAATTAGGTCACCCTGAAGCTTCTGTTCTCCAGGCTGAACAATTACAGTTCTCCCAGCCTTGTTAAAGACATTAGTTTTTAACATCAGGGGAAATTTAGGCTAGATACTGGGAAAAAGGTTTTTCCTGTAAGAATGGTGAGACACTGGCCCAGGTTGCCCAGGGAAGCTGTGGCTGCCCCAACCCTGGCAGTGTTCACAGCCAGGTTGGCTAAAGCCTTGAGCAACCTGCTCTGGTGGGAGGTGTCCCTGCCCAGGGCAGGGGTTGGGGCTGGATCATCTCTAAGCTCCATTCCAACCCCTAAAATTCTATGGCATCAACCGCACCGCAGACTCCCGCAGCACTCACCCCGGGGCGCGCTCAGCCCCGCGGCTCTCTCC